ACATTTCTCGAGCAGGGAAAACGCTGCAGCACAAACACAAAAATACTCTCGGACTCTGCTCAGCAGAAGCCCGGAGGTCAGGCAGAGGGTTATGTTTCATTTTGGGGAGGTGGTCACACGAAAGTTCTCTGTAATGTAGTCAATAAATGGGAAAGCACTATAGGACTATAGGAGAAATAGGACATTGTTAGTGATGGGGGGGAATTAAGACCACGCACACCTTTTGACACACGATTTGCCCGGCTCGGGCAGTGTTCCCCCTGCTTTAGCCAGAGAAGTACCTGTGGGAGAACAGCAGATCCTGCTCCCCTTTGAAATCCCCCGGGATTGCACCTCCAAGCTCAGTGGGAGCAGGATCGAGGCCAGAGTCAAGCGAGGGGTGATTAATGAATGTAGGTTATTCAGAGCAGAGCGGTTCCAATTAGTCCTCAGCCAGCAGTCCTGCAGCAAAGGTGGGCGCTCCCCTGCAATGATTCATACAGAGAACCCCAATACTCGCTTTGCTTTAGTGAACATTAAAACGTGCATCTATATTTTTCCCCCCTTCAGCTGGGCAGTTGGTGTGTTTCAGGCTGAAATCCAAGTGCAGCCTAAAGAAGGCTGTGGTTTTGTTTGTTTTTTTTTTTTTATTTGCAAAGCAAGATTGCAATGTGTCATAACGATGCCAAACTGGGAGTGAGCCCTTTTTCCCTCTCAGGTTGGGTGTGTGATAGGAATTTTCCCTTTTGCACTCAGTCTATTTCTAGGAAGGATCTCTCTTACCACTGTTCAAACAGGGTGGGTTTTTTTCCTCCAAGAAAGAAGACACTTCAGGAAGGCAGCAGCGCTCCCCTCGCTCTGCACTACTCAGTCGACTCACAATACTTTAAAAATCCTAATGCCTGCTCCTAACTTTGCCTGAGAGGAAACCTGGAGCAGCAGAGGGGCACGGGGATGAGGCTGGACCAGAAGTGGGTCCTGCTCCGGGGGCCTGGGGCTCTGCGCTCCCTCGGGGGCTGCAGCGCCGCTTCGGTGGGGACTTGGCCAAGGAGAAGCCTCATCTCTTCCCCTCCTTAGGGCAGGGCTCCTTTCGGAGCTCTTGGCAAGGGCAGCAGCAAAGCCTCTGTAAGTGACCCCCTGCAAAAAATACCTGGGCATCAGTAAAGGCTCGGCCAGAGAAGGGAAGGTGGGAGAAGAAATAAAAAGCAGCCCTGTCTTTATGAGAGGAGATAATTCTCTGCTTGGCTGATAGCAACCAGTTTACCCACAGATTACACATTAACCAGAAAATGGAACTCGAATTAACCAGAATCTGGAGCTTGAACCATTACTCAAACCCTGGTGCAACAGCAGGTCAGATGCCAAAGGGCAGGTTGGGGCCCTGGCCCTGGGGAGGGGCGAGGCACAGCATCAGAGTTGAGGACCACGGCCACCGATGCCCGCTGTCACCCACGGTGGGGCCAGGTGTCCGTCCCCTCCAGAAGGACCTCAGCAGGAGCAGGGTGACCTCCAGCAGCACCCAGTGCCTACTGACGTAGGCCCTCATGGATGCAGGTGCCGCGGGGGGGCTCAGGGCTACATCCTGACCTCAGCACACAGGGCAGGATGGGGTCCAAGCCGTGGACTGGACCAAACGGGCAGAGGAACAGCAACAGGTCCTTTCCTTTCAGTGCCACCGGTGCCCAGGGGGGATGACCTTACAGCTGGGAAGAAGTTGCACGAGCAGAAGAGGGGAATAAAAATAAAGGAAAAAAAAAATGTGCTGAGTTTATGAGCCTGGGTCTGGAGATAAAACCCCCATCCTGGAAGGGCTGGAGCATCCTTTGGAGAGGCCTCTGCTTCTCAAGTGAACTGGGCTGATAATCCCATTCAAAGAGCGGGAGAGGACTCTGCAAAGCCACACTGGAGGCTCTTGGGGAAAGTGGCTTTAAACGAACTGGGTCGAGGGTTTGAGGAGCCTTTCGAAGTCAAGATGCCCTTTGACATGGAGAACTGCAGTGAAGAGGGGCTCCGAGACCTGAACGTTTCTAAAAGCACATTAACCTTTGGATTGATTGTTTAGGACAAGTAACTCTCAAAAGTTGGAGGAAGTATTTTGATTTTTTTTTTCTCTCAGCTCCTCAGTCCTGGGTTTTCTAAGGCCTGTAGCAAAAAAAAAAAAAAAAGGGGGGGGGGGGGGGGGGGGGGGATAAAACAACAGAGCAAATGAAAGAAGAAGGGGGGGAAAAAAGCAAAGAAAAAAAAGAGGCAGTATGGACCCAAATGGCAAGGAATCTTTCGATCTGGCGTTAAGTGGCTCTGTGACAAGCCAAGCCTGATGCGGTGTCATCTCTTACTAGAGACAGGCATGCTTTGCTGGGATCAGATGGTAAGAGGATGTGAAGTCTTCCCTTTCACTTCGCTCCATCATAAAACAATCAAAATATAGGGCCATATCATGTCATCAGGTTTTTAAGCAGACCTCCCCTTTGAGATCTCCTAAAACCTGGTGGGATGATCTGAGTCACTGAAACTGAGCCGACTGCGATACTGAGAAGTCAGAAGCAGCACCTGAAAGCTCACGTTTTTCATCTACCTGAAAGAGAACTTGATTTCTAGCGGGCAACAATTTTCCATTTTACACGAAGCTATCCTTTTCCTTCTCCCCTCCTGCACATAATTGAGCCCAGCTCTTGTATCAGCATCACCCCTTCGCCAGGCAGTACGCTGAAGTACCGCTCTCGGAGTTATTGAACTTTAAACTACAGACTAAGAAACTGAGTACGGAATCAAAAAAATGCAGTTTATTATTGTAGATTATTCTCTCTTTTGATATAACCATAGAGTCGAAAATGAAAGAAAAGCACATAGGAACATCACACGTGGTTAGTTAGTAACTCAAGATATAAAACAATTTTGCACAGCAAAATATGTAAAAGAAAAAGTAACTGACAAGATTTTTTTATATTTATTGTGGTAAGATTTACTTTCCATTTTTTTTTTTTTTTTAAAAGACAGGATATCAGTCCCTGAAAATAAAATTTACTGATTATTGCCTTTAAAACTGTGGAATTTTTGAAGTTACAGAAAATCCAGTTCTGCACCACAATACAACTGTAAAAAAATCTGCATCATTTTAAAACTGTGCAGTAATGCCATCTTTATAACTGCATAAATTGTATTAGCGTTCTAAACAGGTTCGTAATTTTTTTTTTGTCATTTTTGTATTATATGCTTGCAGGTTATATCTTAGTGCAATTCAGTCCCAAATACTTCAATTTTGAAAAAAAAAAAACAAAACACCCCAAAAAAAAAAAACCCCAACCCATACATTTTGAATGTAAAATACCCCTATAGATATAAACAGGGGTGCCTCCCCCTTTTAATACTTTGGTTTTCAAATACAGTCAGTGGTATAGCAAGGACTACATATACCCAACTTATATTTAAGTTGCAAGCACATGCTGCATAAACTACTTTTTAAAACAGTCCCGTTGCAAATTCTACCCCCCTTTACATCACGACAGTAAACAATTTAGTGCATCAATCTTTAAAAAAAAAATCTACATCTAAACAGACCTAACTCTTTCGAATTTATCTATAACATTCCTTTATCTGTAGCATACATTTTAACTGGGCTAACAGATGACAGAAACTAGAATTAAATTATATAGTAGGAACCCAGAGCATTCCACATTTGACAATGACCAAATGCAAAAGGAAAAAAAAAATAAATGGGGCAGATCACTTAAAATTAATTTTTAGACTGTTTTAGGCAACAGCATGGTTTCAATGTCCCATGTCCCCCCCCCCCCCCCCCCCCCCTGGGTGGGTTTTTGAACATCTTTCCAAAGTTCTTTTTGTGGGTTTTCTGTGATTTTTTTTTTGCCACATTAGGCTATCAAAATCCATTCTGGCATGTTTTTTGAGAGGGAATGCTTCAGTGCATTTAAAAGGAAGTCTGAAGTTTTGAGTAACTCAAAGCAGTTTTAGAGCAGATGCAAACTTTAATGGGGAGGAAGAGGAGGAGGAAGATCAAAGGTTGCACTTTTTTGCTTTCAACCCAAAAAAGTGATGAGGCAATAAAACAAAAGGATGAATGCCATGCCATAATAGTCTCCAAAAGTCCATTTCCAAGCAAAAGAAAAAAAAAAATAATTATACCGTACATGACCAGCATGCAGGGTTTTTTATTAATATAATGTCTCTTTTTCATAGTCTTTCGAAACAGTTATAGTTCATTGTTGCTAAGACAAAATAGCAAGCGTAATGCATGAGATGAGTATGGGATTCTAATGGCAGACTAAAGTCTCACGTTTGGCAGATTAAGGCCAAAACTCACATGAACACACCGAAGGTTGATGCAGGCTTGATTTTGGCAGGTTGATCTAGGCATATCTCTAGTTTTGCACAACAACGCTAAAAACTGATGGAACTCAGCAAGCTGGAGTCTAAAAATTTCACATTGTTTTTGTATTTTTTTGTTTGTTTTGTTTTTTTGTATTTTTTTAATTTTATTTTTCTTTTTGCAAAGCTCAAATCTCATATGAAGAACTCAGGATGGCAAAAAAAAAAAAAGTCTGACTTTTTTGGACACAGCAAGCTCAAAAGAAAAAAAAAACCTCATGAACTTAAAAATATATATATATATATATAATGTGGATGGCAGGTTTCAAAGAAGAGCAAGCTTCATATGAAGAACTGAGTTGGTGGCGAGTTGGATCTTTTAAATTTAAAAAAAAAAACCACAACAGCAAGCCCCCACAAAAATAAAAAAATAATAATAATAAACAGAAAAGAAACTCATGTAGAACTTTAGGTTGACCAACACGGAGCCAGCCCACCTTAAAAAGAAAAAAAAAAAAAACCAACAAAAAAACCAAAAGCCAACCCAAAAACCAACTTTGTTTTAAAATTGTTTTGAGTTTAAAAAAAAAAAAAAAGTAATACAAGGTGGCAAGCTGGGTTGTGTCGCTCTAGCAAAGCCCCCAACAACAACTCACAGGGAGAACTTTTAGTTAAGGTGGCAAGGCTGTGGGAACTCACATGAAAAACTCTGGAGAGGAAGGGTTGTCGCTGCTGGATCCGTTTTCTCTGAAGCCATTGCTGACCAGCTTCTCGTACTTTTCCTTGTAGGCGTCCCTCTCCCGGACCAGCCTGGAGATCTCCTGCTTTAGGTGCTCCACTTGCTGCAGCAGCTGGTTCTTCTCCGACTCCAGGACGTGCCGCTGCTGGACCCTCTTGAAGCGGCAGGACTGGGCATAGCCCCTGTTTTTGAGGGTCCTCCTCTTCTGCTTCAGCCGGATCACCTCTTCC